AAAGAAAAAATGGCATATATGAATTTCAGATAATGTAATTTCTTAAAAATCTGTTGTGTGCCCTTTTTCATATTGAATTCTATTATGATCTACTGAGTTTTAAAGTGACTAATTTGATGGAATCTACAAAGAATATAACATCCTAAGGCTATCTTGAAATGATACCTTTTAACAACAAAAGCTGCTGCTTCTGTTTATTATAAACCCAGATTTAAAAAAATGCTTGACAATAACAGATTAGGTTCTGATTCTTTCTTTCTTTTTGATGACAGCAGTTGCTTACTAACCTTTCCCCATCAGCTCCATATCTACTTCTGTTTAAAAAGGAACAAAACTGTTTAGTATTCTCCTGGCACATTTGTGTCACAATGCAGGTAGGCTCCAGGGAAAGAAATGAGGCATGTTAGTCTGTTATGATGATAAAAATACCTGTCCTGAAGTTCCATGACACACACACACACACAAACACAAAAAAAACTTTACTTCTTACTGGTATTATACATGTCCTATTTAAAATATAAAATTATGAAACCTAAAAATTTACTGTTTAAACAGTAGCATATAAGCAAAAGCAAGTCCTGAATGTACAGAAATGTATACTGGTGTGGCCTTACAGTCACCTTTTGTCAGTTTCACCTCCAGCAGAGCGTAGGCCAGCAGGTAGCAGGGAATTTCAAACCAGCCAATCTGACTACGTCACTGTTCTGACATTCTAATTAGAGATCTGGAAGAGAAACTAAAATAAGAATTAGCAGTTTTCTGTGAATCTTAACTGTTCTCATGCCCTATCTCTTAAATTTTTTGACAGATGTCAGTATTTTAAAAAATAACAAGAGAAGAGGTAGTACCAAAAGGGTAGGACAAAAGGGGCAATGCTTGACCTGGGTTTGAACCCTGGGTCTGTCGTTTGCTGGACAAGTGACTTTGGGCACTTCCTAAATGTCCGAGGTTCTTTTTCCTGTAAAATGGAAGTAATGATATCTACCACATGTGATTGTTGTGAGGGACCAAATGACACAATGGTGACACTGTGTCTGGCAGCAGTGCATAGCAGGAGGACAAGAATTCACAGCTTCCTTCTTCTATAACACCAGAAGTAGAAAAGAAGATGAGGATATTAATTCTATTTTGCAGCCTTAAGGATTATATCTATGTTTATTATTAATACTTTCTTAGATATGATAATAAATGAGCATCTTAAAATACATAAAGGCCCACTTGATTTATAGCAAGAGAACAATATTAATTGCAATATTAATTGCAGGGTCCATTTAGGACTCCCTGATTTTTCAAGACATAAGTCATCACAGGAAAGAAAATATAAACAATATTAAGCATGAATCTACTTGTAGGGCCCCTGTCAGTACTAACAATCAACCAGTTATTTTGAGATACTTTGGAGAATTGTTCCACACGATTATAAAGTGTTAGAGATTTCTTATGAGACGAGTCACTGGGGCCTGTAATATTGTTACAATCACATTGTCCGGTGACCTTTGACACAGGGCCACGACCTTCTGAGAAAACTGTTTCATCAGAAAGAGGAAATGACTTTAAAATGAGCGTATACTTTGTGGTGGTTATTCTGTTTGCCACTGGGAATCTCTTTCTTTTGCTCAAACTGTTAGACTTACTGAGGCTTATCCTCTGCTTTGACCACAGGACAGCACGAAAACGTTAATTCTACTTACCTATTTTAGGAAAGATTTTCAACCTTTTTGTTGAGGTTGTGGAGCTATGGTTCAATCTTAGAGAGAGGCAGTGGGGGGGGGGGTGCAGGGGGGCTTGGAGCCAAGCTGATTTTCAATTCCCAACAGGCTCCTTTCGGAGATGAGCTGTGTGGCCTCAGGCAAGTCACTGAGCCACTCTGAGCTTGTTTTTCCAACTGTACAGTAGAGATGATGATACAACATCATGCAGGAGTTTCATAAAAGTTACAGTTTTAGATACATAAAGATACAAAATACAGTGCATGGCATATAATAGGCCCTCATAAATGTTTAGGAGTGCACAGAATGCTCATAAATATTGTTTATGAAATAAAAAAAAATCAGAAGATAAATTATGCTAATGATAACCCACCCACGTTATAGATGATTAGATCTGGATTCAGGATCAGATTTGAAACATCTTTTAAAACATATGCAGGGCAGAGAAATTAACATTCACGTGCCTTGAGAATCTTAAATTTTCTCATTCCCGACTTCTGGTATAAAATTTGTAATACGGTGTTAGTTTTTTGTGAGTTCCCTTTTCTTTTGGTTTTATTTACTTTTAGTGAACAAACAAACCCACAGCATTATCTACAATGTTGGTAATTAAAGTTACTGGGAGATGGAGCAATAAAAATGAAACATAAACATCAGAGGGAAGCCTGAATCTAGGAGCTGATATAGTGAAGCTTCTAGAAACAAGGTTTCTAGAAACAAAGAAGACTGATGTTGCTGCTGCCTGATTAAATGGTTATTTAGTTTGAAACTAGTGGACATCAACCAAAAAGGAATTATGGCACAGTTATCTCACCCTTTTGCTAAATCAAAATTGGAGAAATTATCTAGGGCATTCGGCTATTCTCTTGAGAACATAACTATTTCTTAATTACCTAACTAGAAAACTCATGTGCCTTTGGAGAATTCTTAGGAAACATTATAGAGAGTTTATGCAAAATGCAGCTTCTGGTGGCAAATGCCTCAGAATGATTCTCTCACTCGGGCTCAGTTCTCAGGTTCTGATGTGCTGACCATCCCCTTGTAGCTCCTCCTTTTTAAACCACGAATGTAGGTAACTTTCTAACCGGTCTCCTTGCCCCCGCCTCCCCAGAGTTCCCTTCATAAAGCACGGCTCTAACCAGGTCAGTCTTGCTCAGGTACTTTCAGTGGATTCCCATGCCCCACACAATGAAGTCCATACTCCTTCAAAGGATATTTAAAGCCTCCCATGATCTGACCTTAACTTACATTCAAAGCTCATCTCCTAGTCTCCTGTATCACAGCTCTTATCCTTATCCTTAACCTCATGCATTCATTCAACAAACATTTTTAACACATTGACTGCCACACTAGAAAAAAATTTTTTTCCTAGGAGCCAAGGTTGTTTTATTACAAAAACAGAATTAAAAAATAAAACGATCCTTTCTAAGTTAACAAAAAATTTGTTGTTCTTTTATTGTTTTCTGTGCATGAGTGATTATGCAACTTGAAAAATAGTTCTCGTGGCTCCCAAGGTGAAGAGATGTGAGTTACCTATGCTTCACGAGGCCCTGGGCTCAAAACTAGCGTGAGTTAAATACAACTTACATGGCAGTTAATGTGTTAAAGTGCCACAAATCAGGTATGGTGCTGGAGGATGAACAAGACACAGCTTCTGCTCCCCGGGAGCTCGGAGTCTGGGGATGAGTTGAATACGTAAAAGAAGGTTACCGAATAACACGCTGTTAGATTTATTTGCTAAACATTTAATGAAAATTTAACAGGCACACACAAGCACACGGAGGATGGACTGTCTAACTTTTCAGCAGAAGCTGCAAAGAGGAAGTGGCATTAACTGAATCTGGAGGGATGGGCAGATGGCCTCAGGGCGGGGAAATTTCAGGCCGGGACAAAGTCCACATGCAGACAAAAAGGCTGGAGGGGGTGAAGCACACGTGGTCTTGCTGGAATGGTTCGTGGGGCTGGAGCAGGGCTTTAACATCCTCTGAAGAAAACCCCTCTCCATGTCCCCAGTCCCCAGCACGCACCTTCTATGTCCCTTTGACTCGATTCATCCTTCAGGCTTAGCTTGGAGGTCACGTCCTCACAGAGGCCTCTCTTGTTGATCCAGAGGACGTTAGTCCCCAGTTATTTACTTCAATAATGCCATGCACTTTTTCTTTCTAACACAAATAACTGTAAGTAAATAATTACCTGGGTAGTTATTTAATGCCTGTCTCTACTCCCCCCGCCCCTACTGCCCTTTAGACTTTAAGGGCAGTGAGGGCAGAATCGTGTCTGACCAGGTCACCTCATACCCCAGTGCCCAGCGCAGTGCCAGGCATATAGTAGATGACTGAAAGTAAATATTTTTGAGTGAATAATGATGTAATTTATGGACATTTTTCCTTTTTGGAGCTTGACTATATTACTCTTCAATATTGGACAAAACATTCCAGAGTCCAGAAAGTATTTTCCAGTTCTGCTGGGGCTGTTCCTCCCCTTGCCTGATGGCCAAACACAGGCACAGGACTCCTTTATCCCTGTCTCAACTCACACACGCAGACTCACACTCACACAGACTCACACTCACAGATTCACACACATAGACTCTCACAGTCACAGACTCTCAGACTCAGAGGCTCACACTCAACACAGACTCACACTCAGACACACACACACACACACACACACACACACACACAGACTCACACCCACTCACGCACACATAGACTCTCATACTCTTATTCCTGTATTAATTTCCATACTTGCATCCAGAAGCCAATATCTATGTATCAAGGGGATGTTGACCTGGTTAGAAAATCCTGTTCTAGCAGAATCTTGGATATTTGCTTTATAAATTCAGCAATGCAAGGGCAAATTTTATACTTGAAAACATTCAGAATTGCCTTGGTTCCAAAAAGTAATGCAGTCAAACCCCAAATCTCTTAAAATCCTAAATATAGAGAATATAAATATCAAGTCCCTTGCTATCTTGCAGCTCATCTAGACTCATGGCTTCAAATTTCATTTGTGTGTTTGTCTTAGATAGCATGCCCCCAAGCAGCCCCTGAGATAAGCGCTTACGGCAATGTTATTTCTGAAGGAAGTAGACCAGGCAGGGAGATGCAAAACAGGGAGGAGAGGAAGCCCAGCAAACACATAATGTCAGGCAGTCTTTCTAGAGGGTAGTTTTGACCTGATCTTGGGTGTAAGAAAAATCTGGGGATTAAGTTATGCTTCAGAGTTTTTCTTTATTATTATTTTTTAATTTTTAATTTCCTTTCTTATTTATGACCAATGACTGCATTTAAAAAAATTTTTTCCTTCTCATTTATTTATGACCAACAGATTCAGAGCTTTTCTGAGACAAGGGAGCTGGGCTTGCATACACCCTGCCCACCCCACCCCATGCCTGTGTCTGTCATCGGTCAAGGACTGTCCTGGGGGGACGTTAGTATCCAGGCGTTTCTTGCTCTCTGGCTGCGGGGGCAAAGGGGCTCCAGTAGCCTAAGAGCAGTTCGCCAAGGAAGTTGCAGGTGCTGGAGGTGTTAGAAGCAAAAGGCTCTACAAAAAGAAAAACCAGTATTCAAGGGGATCTGGGTGGAGCCCCAGACAGTGCCCGCTACCATGCTGACGGCTCTCGAAATTTCCTCCAGCTTGGACTTCTCTGACCTGTAAGGGAAATGGCGTTTGTATAGGCAACAGGTTTCTTAGGCCAAACTAAGACGACTGCTGCAGTGTTTTTTCCAGGCCAGCCCCGCTGGTTAGCTGGCTATCCGGGGAGGCGTGAGTCCACACACTCGTGTAACCAAGGTGTTATCTCCTGTGTGAAGCCATGTGATCGCGCTTTCCCATGGCGTGGTGCCACTACTGTTCAGGGCCATGTATAAGCGCTCGCCATGTTCTCAGCCATGCTTTTCGCCGCTGCTGTATACCCCGACAATAAAGAGCACGTCTCATCTGCCTGTTGCCACTCGCCTTTTCTTCCAATTCCCGAAGGCTGCACTGGAGCACAAGCTAGCCACGGAGCGCCCTCCTCACACCTTCAGACATGCGTATCCAACTGCCTACTTGACATCTCTACTTGCACATCTGTATCTGTTACCTATTGCCACAATAATGTTGTGTAACACACAGCCACAAAACCTCAGGAGCTTGCAGGAACAAACTGTTAGTTTCGCTCACAGTCTGTGGGTCAGCTGTCAGCTGGGCAGTTCTGATGATTGGAACTGGGCTTGGGAGGGCTCCTCATGCACCTGCCATCGGCTGTGGGGTTGCCAGGTGGCTGGGCTGATCTTGGCTGGGCTTCCGCAAATGTCTGGGGCCTCGGCTGGGTCACCTGAGCTGACTCCGCTCTGCTCCACACGTCTCATCTTCCAGCAGGCTAGCCTGAGCATGGTCTCGTCTTCTGCAAAGGCAGAAGAGTGAGAGAGAGAAAGGGGAAGCACACTGGGCCTTTATAGGTCATTAAAAGAAAAACTTTAGATCAATTTAATAAAGGTTAATTGAGCAAAGAATGATCCACAAATAGGGCAACCCTTAGGACCAGAAGAGGTTCTAAGAGCTCCACTTCATAATGTGGACAGGCAGCATTTATAGAGAAAACAGAAGCAAGGTAGAGAAACAGCTTGATCGATTATAGCTCAGTTACCAATCCGAAAACGCCTTATTTGAACGTGGTCTGATCATTTGGTCACCTGTGATTGATGGAAGCTCAGCTGCTGTGATTCGCTAGGACTCAGCTGTTTGTTACAAAAGTCTACTCCTAAGTTAGACTTCCAGTTAGTTTACGTACTAAGTTAGGTTGCAGTTCATTACATAAGGACTCAAAGTACAGAGACAACCTCAGGCCAAATTTAGCTGAATTTAACAAGGCGTAGGCCCAGAACTGGCAACTGTTACTATCACCACATTCTATTGGCAAAAGAAAGTCACAGGTCAATTCAAAAGGTAGAGAAAGATTTCACCTCTGATGGAGGAGCTTTAAAGTCCATTTCTGTAATCAACCTACCACAATGTTTAACAGGTATCTGCATAATGGTGGCAGCTGAGCAGAGTTCCATTGCTAAAGAAGATTCACAGGACCCAAAATGACAATGCTTTCTAATCTACAATTTACTGCAGGAAAAGGGTACAATATAGCAACAGCATTGAAGTAAGGGCATGCGTCACAGCCAAAGGCATTCTCACAGCAAGGGGTTCAGAGAGGCCAGGGTGCCTATCTGATAGGCGTCACATGGGCATTTGCTCCTATGCAACTGGGCCCAGTGGCAGAGCCTTGGTGTGGGGTGTGGGGAGGGTCCTCACTGAGACCAGGTGTAAATCATCAGCCTCACCATTGTTAATCAACAATGCCAACAAGCTCGTACAAACCACCCAGAAACTCCATGGTAAAAAGCAACACCAGCAACCAGCATGTTCTGTGTCTTCACATGGGAAAATGCTGTGCAGGTGTAGTTCTCATTGCAGTAAAAGAGTTCAGGCCAATTCTAGACTTGCTGGAATTACCTCTCAAAGCACAGCATCTCGAACGTGGCACCTTTGAAACTGAGTTCTTGATATTGCCTCCTACAGTCTTCCTCATCCTGTTAATGATAATTTTGTGATTTTGCTCAAGCCAAAATGATGGCATCACTTGTGACCTCTCTGTATGTCATGCCCAACCTCCAATCCATCAAGAAATCCTCTTGATGTCACCTTCAAAATATATTAGAATTTGACTACTTCTCATCTTCCTCACTCTTCCTTCCTCCAGGATGCCCTCATCTCTCACCTGCTGCTATGGGCTGAAAGTATGTGTTGTGTCCCTCCAAAATTTATATATTGGAACTTAAACCCCAAAGTGATGGTATTAGAAGGTAGGGCCTTTGGGCAGTGATTAGGTTATGAAAGTTCCACCCCCATAAATGGAATTAGTGTCCATTTTTCAGGGCTGGAGAGAACTAGCTAGATCCATTTGTCCTTAGCCTTCTACCATGTGAGGACACAGAGAAGGTGCCATCCATGAGGAACAGGCCCTCACCAGACATGGAATCTGCTGGTGCTTTGATCTTGGACTTCTCAGCCTCCAGAACTGGGAGCAATCAATTTCTATTGTTTAGATGTTACCAGTCCCAGGAATTTTGTTATAGCAGCCTGGCTGGACTAAGACACATGGTTATCTCAACAGCTTCCTCCCTGGCCTCCCTGTTGTGCCCTTCCTTCTTTTGGTTTCCTCTCAACATCACAGTCAAAGCAACCTTGTGAAAAATGAAAGTCATATCCTGTCACTTCTTTGCTCAAACATTACTAATGATTTCTTACCTCACTCAGAAGAAAAGCAAAAGTCATTACTCTGACCCAAAGGCTCCATAACACCTGTCTCCTTCTGACTATTTTTTTTTTTTTTGAGATGGAGCCTCTATCTGTCTCCTGGGCTAGAGTGCAGTGGTGCCATCATAGCTCACTGCAACCTCCAACTCCGGGGCCCATGGGTTGCTCCTGCCTCAGCCACCCAAGTAGCTGGTACTACAGGTGCCAGCCACCACACCCAGCTAATTTTTTCTATTTTTAGTAGAGATGGGGTCTCGCTGTTACTCAGACTTCTCAAACTCCTGACCTCAAGCTATCCTCCTGCCTCGGCCTCCCAGAGTGCTTGGATTACAGGCATCAGCCGCTGTGTCGGGCCCTCCTGATTTCTTTGATGCCATCACCTGCTACTCTCTTCCTTGTTTTTCCCGCTCCAGTCAGACTGTCTTCCTCATTCCTCAAACAGGCAGGCACACTTGTGCCTCCAGGCATTTGCTGTTAGGCTGGTGATCTTTTGAGTCTGCCTCCTCCTTTGCTGGCAAATTAATGAACTTATCTTTCCCTTGCCTCAAGCCACTTGTCTTCCTTCTTCATTCTCATTGATTCTGCCTCGGGGACAAGTACTGAACTTTCGGTAACATATCTAGTTCTAAAACATCTTCATTGCCCCCAAATGGAACCCGGTTTCCATCAAGCAGTCTTCTCCCTCCCCCCTAACTCCCAGAATCTGGCAACCACTAATCTTTCTATCTCTGTGGACTTACCTATTCTAGATATTTCATGTAAATGGAATCATACAATATGTGACCTTTTGTGTTTGGCTATCACCGTTTCATAAACTCCCCAAAATTCAGAAGAGCAAAAATCTCAGAATGAAAGGCAATCCTGTAACTTAAACACATCTTTACTTTGTGTTATTAGCCGTACTTTTCCAATTTCTAGAGAACCACTGGCTTAGAGGAGAGAAATCTAAATGAGTGGAAACTCACTCTCCCATCTACATCTCAACCACGTGCCATCTGAAACGGTTTCTCATTTCTCTGTGTCCCCAGTTACCTATTTGGTTACTTGCAACTCAAAGCTCTCGCTGATGCACTTGAACATTTTTGAAGTGTAACTGGCCTCTTCAGCCACAAGAGGGCAGACCTCGGCCAGCGGTCTGGTAGCGAGGATGCAGGACCAACTAATCACCTCATTGCATCTCCCCAGTGTGTCTCCAGAAGGCGCTGCAGCTCCCATCAGCTGCCAAACGACCTATCAATCGTGTCACCAGCTGTCAGTTAGTTCCCCGCTTGAACTGGTAGGGAGAGTCTATCTTATTTGAGAGGCAAACTTAGGGAGGGGCACCCTGCCTTCCTCACGACACTGCCCTGCATCGGAAGCCCAGGAGGAGTTTTCCTCTTTGTGATTGAATTCTGTAACTTGAATTCATCATCAGCATAACAAATATTTTATGAAGTCCTTTAGGAGCATTGTACTCTTCTGATCATGGAATAAACAGACGCTGTCCCGTCAAGCTTGACTGTCCTATCAAAAATGCTGAGGGACATTCTCCTGCTATCAGTCAATTTCTTCAGGGACATCAGGATGATATTCCTCTTTCACTTCATCTAAAAAGACAGGTGGGACATCAACTTTGGAATTTTCCTAGAATTCTTACACTCACGTTCTTATATTCTTCAACCCTGTGGGGGAGATTTTATGATTATCCTTATTTTATTGTTATTTTAAAACTCAATCTCTGTTTTTAAAATTCAAATTTTGTTTTAATAATATTAATTTTTTTGAAGTTAAACTGGTGTTAAAAACATGAAATACTTTTCCTGAGAGATGATCAGTGAAAATTAAAAAAAAAACACCAAAAAACCCAAAAAACATGAAATACCACTAAAGAGCTTGTCATGAGGAGGAACATTCCCTATTCTACTCCTTCCCACACTCCTAGTTGTGCAACTAGAGGAGGGCTTTGGGAACCCTTAGCTGTTTGTATTTTTAGGATTTCTTGGAGTCACGTATATATCTCTGAATGATGTGTTCATGGTATCACTTCTCGGTTTATCAATTCTAGATGTTGTCAATCTAGTTTCTCTCATAATAAAAGAAGATTTAGCCTTTTTGAGGAAGTCTCTTAGGATTCCTGTTTTGAAGATGAGAAAACCAAAGCTCATGAGGTTCAAGGGACTTGTCCAAGGTCCCATAACCAAGGACTGACAGAGTGGAAATTAGGACCTGGGTCTCCTAACTCTGGAATCCTTGTAATTTCCACCATCATGTTGGGGTTGGGACCACTAGAAAGATGCTGATTACCCTGAAGGGCTGTGTTAAAGTATCAAAACTGATGTAATAAGACTCCTTAAAATAGGGTTGCCAGATAAAATACAGGATGCCCAGTTAAATTTGAATTTCAGATAAAGAACAAATACTTTTTTTTTGTATAAATATGTCCTAAATATTGCTTGGGACATACTTGCTTTTATTTGCTAAATCTGGCAATTTCAGGGGAGAAAAGATTTCTTTCCTTACTTATTGCTAGGTTCACGGCTGAGATCCCTGTAACAAAAGGTAGATCAACAAGAGAGGAGTTTAACAAATTTATTTGAAATAAGTTTTATGTGATATGGGAACCTTCAGCATGACTATCCAAAGGAACAGAGAAAATGTATATTTTTATGGACACAGTTTGTATGTCCTAGTATGACTGGACAAAAGGTATCTAATCTAATTGTATATATATATATATATATATATATATATATTTAAAGACAGAGTCTCATTCTGTTGCCTGGGCTAGAGTGCTGTGGCATCAGCCTAGCTCACAGCAACCTCAAATTCCTGACCTCAAGCGATCCTTCTGCTTCTGCCTCCCAAGTAGCTGGGACTACAGGCATGCATCACCATGCCTGGCTAATTTCTATGTATATTTTTAGTTTTCCAGCTAATTTTTTTCTATTTTTCAGTAGAGACAGGGTCTCACTCTTGCTCAGGCTGGTCTCCATCTCCTGAGCTCAAACAATCCTCCTGCCTCAGCCTCCCAGAGAGCTAGGATTACAGACGTGGGCCATTGCTCGCAGCCAATCTAATGGTATTAAACAGAAGGGCACTTAACAAGGCCCGCTTGTT